CAAGAGGCCCAACAAATGGGGCTATAGGATAGATTAATGGCTACCATTGGATCACACAAGCATCCTCAAGCAAATGTGCATGGCCATGAATAACAGATCTGGAAAAGCCTTACTATCGTAAATATGTGTATTTGATGTTGTTGGAGGATAGGTTCAGAACATGTCAATATAAAATCTCCCATTTTTCACCTTGTCTTGGTCTATCAAATCCCGGCGCGGCGGGTGCTTCCCTTTTGCCATTTGCAGCAGCAGTGGTTTGGTACGCTGCCCGTCATGCAGCGTTGCTCGGACTTCAATGCCTCGCCGGCATTGCAAGAGAGGACTGTGTGCTGCTTTGGGCGTGGCGTGTTGCTGGTACATTGGCACCATCAGTCAAAGATTTGGCTATGATCATCATTATGTTTACGACCACGGTGTTTCTTCTATCATAATCCTTGCTGTACTATGTAGGCTCAAGGTTCCAAGGGATAGGGTTCCCGCAATGGCATCTTTAGCTCCATTGTCTGGCATCGAACAGCAGTATGAACGCCCCTTGTCAACTCATGGGACTTTTTGGATGAAAATCGATGGATGGTTTAATGGTGTAGACTGTTTTGGCGATTGTTCACGTCTATCATGTGAGGTGTGGTCAAACTACATCTTCCAGTTGATTCATTCGTCCAGTGCGCGAATGCAAAGCGGCCGGACAACACCTTGTTTCCGGATGTGTCATCGTTCACTATCGGATATCCAGATTTGGAAACCTACCTCCCCTTGATCCTGGGTTTTTTTCAGGTCAGCCCTGAGGGTAACTTGGTGTGCAGCCGGTACAAAGACCATGAAGAAACATTTTTTGACTTCATTCATCAATGTGTCTTATCCAATTTCATGGACATGATACTAAGGGGAATTCTCTGGCCACCACATCGAAAATGTGTTCAGCTCAATGGACAAGGAAAACTGTTTCAATTTGAGCAAGGGGAAGACAAAGAAAGAGCAGCGGCAGTGGGCACAGAATGACCCCCGGCTAACTTGGTTTCTTTGTTTTTTCAGACCATATTAAATATGATTCATATAGTTAATCTTTGTCTTTCGACCATGCATTGAGAAGGAAAGCTATATCGTCCAAGCCCTTCTCTCATATGGTCGCCGATATTGGCGCAAAGCTTTGGATCGCAAAACAAAAACCTCTGTTGCGTCCCAATTAGCCGCCATTCTCAAGCCCAACCCCCGCCGGTTTCGAACGACCTGTCGCGGGAAGAGAAAAGGCAAGAAAGGCCTGGCCACCCGGGCATTCTGGCTGGTGCGAGGTTTAGTCCTGCTAAGAAGATTATAGCATCGACCCGCGCGTTATATAGAATACTTACATATCTATATATATATATATATAAATCTCTCTCTCTCTCTCTCCTCCTCTCTCTCTCACTCCCTCTATCTATCTATCAATCTATCAATCTATCTATCTATCGATCGATCTGTCCATCTATCGACCTGTCCATCTATCGATCTGTCCATCTATCGATCTATCTTTCTTTCTTCCTAACTATCAATCTTTGAATCTATCAACCTATCAATCTTTAAATCAACCAATCTATCTATATATCTATATTTAATTGTCTATATCTTTCTTTCTTTCTTTCTATTTATAACTATCAGTCTTTGAACCTATCAAACTAGTTTTAATCAATCAATCTATCAATCTATCAGTCTTTCAATCAATCAACCTATCAATCTGTCACCCTATCAACCTATCAATTTATCCACCAACCGATCAATCTATCAATCTATCTGTCTATCCGTCTATCTGTCTATTTGTCTATCTATCTATCTATCTTTCTTTCTTTCTTTCTATCTTTCTATCTTTCTATCTTTCTATCTTTCTCTCTTTCTGTCTTTCTGTCTTTCTGTCTTTCTGTCTTTCTGTCTATCTCTGTATTTATCTCTATCTCTATCTCTATCTAATACATCCACATCACCTTTGGTATTTTCGATCTTCTGATTACAAATTAGACTCACTGCAGGTGAGGACGACATCATGGTTTTGGACTCCCAAAGCGAAGCCGAAGGAGTTAACAACCAGCCAGTTCAGGACACATGGGCATGAACTCGTAAATGCGGTTGATTTTAAACACCTGTGCGGCTAACCAATTCTTTCACCCAATTCTATCCATCCAGGAGAACCCACAGACTACGAAAGGAGAACCCGAAGAACCTGTTCAGATCGATGATGAGGCTGAATGTCCAGAGGGTGAGTTCACGTTAGAGGATTGCATAGAGTTTTGCCAGACATGGACTTCAAAGGAAGAGATGATCGAGAACCGACCTCAAGACTTGCCACCCGCAGTTTGGTCTGAGACCTTGATTGTCTTTGACCTGTGCCAAACCCATGGACCTGATCCTGATGTGATTGCGGGACACCTCCCAGAAGCGCTTGCTGCAGCACAGGCTGACCGCTTGATGGATGAAGAGCGCCTGCCCCAGCCCAGTGACGAGATTGAGAAGGACAGTGCTTTGAAGTCGCTGCCCTACCTTCAAAAGTTGAGGATTCTTCGAGATGCCGGGTTCCAGGATTCAGCGGAATACTGGTTGGAGGCGGCTGGGGATGATGTGTGCCAGGCACTGGTTTGGGCCACCCAGCATTGCCTTGCTCAGGCACCGGCTGGTGCTCACCGGGAGGATCCACGTGCACCTCAACCTTGTGAGGCAGAAGTGCGACCTGAACCTTTGGAGCCAAAAGTGAGCCCGCCCGAACTTCCTGTGAACATCGATACCGTTGAAACTCTTCCTATGCCTGATGAACCTGCCGGCCTCCTACGTGCCAAAACCCTGACCCTTGGTGATCCTGTTGTACCTGAAGTGCATGACAGTTGCCCACATGACTCTGTCTTGGTTGAGGATGACACAGACCTGGACGAGGCGTCAGAAGTGTGGGAAGATTCTCAACCTGCTCCCGAGTGTGAGGGGGACGATTGGGATGAAGTTCGAGCAGTTTCAGAGCCAGAATTTCCCAAGGGTGATGATGACTTTGGTCGCCACCACGATCTTTCTCCTCACGGACTTGCCCTTCATTCCGACACGGCTGAGCCTGACACGCCTGCTGGTGAACATGTTCCACCTGCTCGTTCCGAGGACAAGGCTTGCAATTTTGAACATCAGGGTCTGGCACTGTTTAATTGGCCAAAAAGCCAAAAACACGCAAAAAGGAACCACCCGGAGGAGGGGGGGGTCCTTTTTATAGCACTTTTCCTTTTCTTTTGGGGGTGGCAAGCCCACGGAACAATTGCCAGTGTCTTAAGACATTGATCATGCATGACAGCATGGATCGTTAACAACATGTAGCTACTCATGACCGTGGAAAAAGAGAACCACCCTCTCCACCTACAACCTTCGATTCAGGTGACGATGTCCCGGGCTGACAAGATTGCTCGTGCTTCCACTGCTGACTCTTGGACAAAAGATAAGTACGCATGGTGTCTTTAAAACTTGTGTTTCTCAGGCATGTCATTCTTGAGATATGCAGGGTCAAGGTAGCCATGTCAGCACATAGCCAAAGTCATTTACCATCCTAGCCAAGGAGATTCCAGATCCCTTCCATGGAGGAGGCCCAGATCCCTTGCACAAGAACTTCAAGGTTTGGAAGGTGGTGAGTGTTGGGAGTGATGGGTTGGCGGAAACCCAGAAGGGTTGCGATCTGTTGGAGTCCCTCGAAGAAACCATCGATTCCGCGCCTCCCCCGGTGTATGCTGAGCAGGGACAGCCTAGGGGAAGGAAACCAAGTGCCAAGCCCAAGGCCAAGGGTAAGAAAGCGAAGAAGAGCAGCAAAAAGGGGGGGAACAGGCGAAGGGCAATCCTTCGCAAAGCTCGGTCCAGTAGTGCTCTTTCTGCTGACCTCAATGTTGCTGATGCCCCTGGTAAGAATGATGGGAAGTCACCTCCAAAGACTACCCAAGTCCTGAAGAAAAAGAAGAAAACAGTTGTCGCTACCGGGGGATCTACACCTGTTGAGGTAGTGCCTAGCAAGAAGCGTAGGGTGCGTGGGGGGACCACAACCATGCCTTCCTCTGAGCCTGCCTCCCCCGAGCCAAAGCCGGAGCCGAGTTTGCCTCATGATGAGATTCCCAAAGATGCCATTGACGCGCCCCCGCACGTGACTGGCAACCAGGTGTACTCGAATGCCTACAAGAAAAAAAAGTACCAAGGTGGAACCGCTGAAGATTGCAAGAAGGCTGGCAAATTGGCTTCGGCCTTGCTGAGGGATTACAATTTGGTAAGCCCTCGCCTGAGTGGTGTGCCTAAGGAGCCTAAGGCTGACAAGTCTCAGCCCAAGATCGGTGATCACAAGAAATCCCGTGAGGGCGGGGCCTAATTTTCATATATGTGTTCCCCTGTTGATTTGTTATGTATGATCAGTCATGAAATCATTTGCATATATATATGTACATATATTATGATGTCTTCGCTTGTGTAGGACATATCACACACACATATATATATATGTATATACACATATTATTCTGTTCAATAATGTGTTGTCATTTTTGATTTCACAGGTTTGGGATTTTGGGGCCCATGTTTGGCATTTCCAACGTGCCGCAGCTAGTGCGTTGGCGTTGGCCCATGGCCTCATTTTTGCCCTGCTTCTGGGGCCGGAAAGACAATTTCTGAAAGCTTGCGTTGGGGGTTCCTGACCCACTCGAGAAAGAGAGGTGGGGTAGAACCATAGGTAGCATCAATCGAAAGCTGGGGAAAGACAGGAAAAACAGCTGTTGTTGGATTGCCCACATTCAAGTCCCCACATTCAAGTCTAGCTGAGGCATTCTTCTTTCCATCGTTGAGCGGATGCATTTTTGGGCATGGGCATGCAAAACATTATGCTCGAATCCCATGATCATTTTAGCAGTCAAGCCACCCTCGTCCCAACTGCCAAAACCCGACCTTCAAACGCTTCATCGCCTTTGTGAAAGAGGCATTGCTTGGCACCTGGCCAGGTTCGTCTCGGATCGTGAGGTCTAGCAGTGGCCATGGGGAAGAGGGATCGAAAAAAGGGTCTGAATAAGGCCATCGCCACAGACGATGAGTTGTGTTTTGGATCAACTTACTGTGTGCATGCCAAAACTGTGGTTTCACAAAAAAATCAGGAATACACTTGTCCCAAAAATTCACAAGAGTAAATGGCACAGTCTATGCCTGAACCTCTCTCGTTTTTATTCTTTGGTCTGTGTGAACGTTTCCATGGCATCTAGAATTTGGAGCTGGGTTTAAACTGTTGGAAAGAAAATCTTAAGACATAGAACAGCCGCTGTTGTACCTGAGGTGCCCAAAGAACAAGGATGATGACTGCGGCCCTTACTTCATACCGCAGAGGGTTCGTGGACCTCGCAACCCTGGTTGCATCCCCTTTCGCCTGTGGGCCATCATAGTCTTGATGCAACGGGCCTTTGTGCAGCCGGCCGCGTTGTATGACTGTGCTGATCTTTTCGCCGGGCAGTGTGCAGTGAGTAAAGCTTACAAAGCTCAGAACATGATGGCATGCGCACTTGACACAGAAATTGATCCCCGAGATGTTCATTGGCCGCAAAACCAGTAGATTACTGACTGGCCACTGTGATGTATATGCGGCATGAGGTTTAAGTCATGCCACTGTGTTTTTGGGTCTGTGAATGCAAGTGGTGCTAAAAGTTGCTGTACGCGTGCCCTACCCCATGCTCCTCGATCACACCATTGTGTGCTAAGGACATCAATACGAGTCAAGGATTCCTGAGATTCCTCTGGGCAGTCTTATGCTGCAAGCCCGACGCAGTGCTGGTTGCGGGGATATTATGCTCTAGTTGGAGCATAGTTAACCGTCAGGAACTCAGATCATTCTCAGCAAGGGTTGGCTATGACTGCATGATCGAAGGTCGGGATTTTATATGGTCCACATTGGGGTTTCCACAGCATTTGGTTCGGCTTTGATGAATCTAGATCCATCTAGCAGATCCCGGATAAAACCCCAACGGCAATGTTTTCCCACGGGGGTTCCAAAACCCCACACCCAGAAAGTTTACATGGCATGAGACTCGGCTACATAGAGGTAATGAATCTCTATATTTGCAAGTGTTCAATCTTTTGGACTTGATGATCTTAGTGGCCCAACCCCATGAAATTTATCACTTGCGTGCCTCAAGGTGGAACGTCTCAACGAAGTGAGCACAACATCCTGGGAAACAGGACAGGGTGGATGGGGGTCCTGGTGGTTAAGAAAGGTGGAGCAGATCATGGATAGATAGGCATGAAGGTATGGCTACATACATATGATATATTCATGGATATGGAAATATCACGGGTTTGGCACCACTGTGACAATAGAACTATTTGGAATCAAAGTGGATGTATCTCAAGTTTGCAGGCTGGCATTACCGAGATCGAAATTCTCTAAATGTCAGTTGTTTTTTGAAATTGGGGCCCTCAACTTTGCACTTGACTTATATTCGCCCTAATTCTATCAATTCCATCTTCGTATTTCTATGTTTATACCTACCAACCCTTTTTGTATGTGGGCATATATGTTTGTATTGCTTGCATATAAACACACATATCATATATAGAAATAAAATAGATATTCATATATATATATTATGAATAAAATAAATATTAGTGCAAATATCTGCATGGCTAAAAAGTATGTACGGTCAGGACCCCCAATCATCTAAATTCAACATCTATCTCGTGAACCGTTCACCTGGGTTGCATTTAAGAACAAAATATCTCATATGGGCAAACTTTTCCATATTCCGACATTCACAAAAGGGGGAAATGGTCATGCAACCGTGTGGCCCGCAGGACTCGTCCGAGCGTGGTGCATGGAAATTTAATGGTGAGTCGAGCCATAGGCCCAGGAAATGGATGCTTGATACTTTGGCACATGGTTTGGCGTGGGACATGGACATGTGTTTTTCGCTGCACTAAGATGACTCTCATACTATATGCAGCCCGCTTCCTTGGCATACATTGGCTTTTGGAAAATCCTTCTCAATCATTGGTGGGGCGCTTAAATTCAAAATTCATTTTCAAATTTCTCAGTGCAGCTATCTTTGGCATGTTTATTTTTGAGGGGTGGGGTGCTGCGCTGAGTTGTTCGACCACCCACGCCTCAAAACTTTCCTCCAGCATGCGGAGAACTGGGAATGCCGTACACACCTCGGGATGTATGGTGCCCCAACATGGAAGCCCGTCAAACTTGTCTCCTCGGATCCCGTCGTGGAAAAACTCTACAGGACTGCATGTCAAAAACATTGAGGTTTTAAAATGCAGCATGCATGCCAACTTGTTTTTTCTTGTTTTTTAAAGCCCCTGAAAACAGGACTTTGGACAGGAGCTTGTTTGAACCCAGCAATTCCACTGTGAAATACCAAACTGCTGATGGACGTCCAAAATTTCAGGGAAGCCGACATCTTAAAGCCACTCAAGTGTATCCTCCTCGCTTTGGAAGACGGGTCGCCCGTCCTCTATACCATACTTTTTCTAATTTGGGCCATGAAATCTCTAGACTCTCTATAGACATCCATGTTTAAAACCAAGGTGTTTCAGCTCTTCACGAAAGAAGCGCACCATCTAACTCCAGTGGAGACGATTGACTACACCCCTGATGCTTGGGAAGATGCAAAGCCACTGGACTGCCAGGGAATCACGTGCATGTATGCAGCCATATTCCAAAAATATAATGGCACCCTGGAATTCCAAACCGTGTTTTTCACCCTCCATGGACTGTTTTATGGAATGCCGCAAATGCTTGGAATGTCTGGATCCCATGCAAGGTTTGGAATGTTTGGACTGGTTCGATGCATATACTGTACCGTTTGGACCCATCTTGGGGACGTTTGGGTATTGGATGTTTGAAATGTTTGGATTGGAATGTTTGGGCTCCGAATGTTTGGAATGATTGGATCCATGTTTGGAATGTTTGGGTTTGGAATGTTTGGAATCCATCTTTGGAATGTTTGGGTTTGGAATGTTTCGATCCATCTTCGGAATGTTCGGGTTTGGAATGTTTGGAATGGATCCATCTTTGGAATGTTTGGGTTTGGAATGTTTCGGTCCATCTTCGGAATGTTCGGGTTTGGAATGTGGAATGTTTAGATTGGAATGCTGGGGTCTGGAATGTTTGGAATGTTTGGGATTGGTATGTTTGAAATGTTTGGATTGGAATGTTTGGGTTTGGAATGTTTGGAATGTTTGGATCCATCTTTGGAATGTTTGGATTTGGAATGTTGGGAATATGTTGGATCCATCTTTAAGGATGTTTGAGTTTGGAAAACGTTGGAATGTTGACCCTGATCATCCATGGTCCCTAGCCAAGGCTTCACGAAGTTGAGGCTCACCTGATCGACATGTTGAATGCCCGTCGCAGCCGCAAGCGGGCCAGTGGTGATTGATGTCATGGCATGGCTACTTCTAATTCGCTGTTTTACCATATGCACTTCCCATTCTTAGTTGTGGGACCAAATTACATGTGCAATGTCGCGGGGCGGCATCGGAAAGCCATCGGAAACATCGGATGGGGTTGTCATGGGTACCTCAAAACTCCTCTAAACCGACGCCCCGCGACGCCCCCGGCATCGGAAAGGCATCGGGAAAATCGGGAAAAATGTGTTCTGATGTTGTCACACTTGGCCGTTAGTGTCCCATAGTCATTGCAAGGGATCGCACACATGCAGGAATTGTAGCTATAACGTTGGACCCTATCCTGTCTCCAGCTCTTTAGGGCATTGGGGATTCCGCGGCACTTGTTGTGGAGTTCGAGCAGCTCCCGCCATGGTGACTCTGACTAATTTTTGACATGCTTTATTTATGCATACGTCAAAAGCAGAATTTCTTGATGACAGGTCCGTCGAAAGGCAAAGGGACCAGAACAGGACTATATGTTCTCAATGTTTCATTTAGGTTTTGTGTGGGTAGGTTTTGTGTGGGGTTGGCATTTGCCACAAAACCATAGGACTCAGCTGAAGGAAAAGTTCCACCTGTTCCAAAACTACCTCCTTTTCATGTACCAAAGCAAGGGGAGGTTGCGGAATTCTTTGCCCCATGGAGCGGAGCAGTAACTAGGCTTATCCTGGTGTATATCCATTCATCAATTTCCATGGTATATCTAAAGTAGCGCTGCCTGCGGACTCAGGTTCAACCCGAAGCTTCTGACCATGCGGAGACGCCTCCGCCGAAACGACGTGTCATTTCGCCATCGACTTCGTTCACTTCCAAGGCATCTTTGGCCTCATTCCGGCTGTGGGTGGGCTTGGAATTTCAGGAGAGAAATCGAAAAGGGTGTGGTCCTAAATGGCCTGCATGGTATTTACAAGTTTAGAGAGCCAACATAACATGGCTGCATTGCCCATGGGACGCATATATTATCACATCCATGAGCCATGCCATTTATGTGAGCCCATCTTTTTCAAGTTCATGGGAGGCTTCCAGTGGTTCGATGAGTGCACCTTCGCCAGTTCAGTGGCCCGCGTTGCTTCCATCGAGCCGTGAACTAGAACCAGCACTGGCCCTTGCTGAGTCTATTTCTCAGGTTGTTTTATTACTTGTTGGGTGTTCCAATTTTTGAAAAATAATCCACATTTGGGCTTAAGGAAATGAAATACCCTGCGTGCTTAAATTGGGGCACCCAATGATCCAATTTCTAGAATGCGCACATAGGTCCAGCAAACCATGCACCGAATTCAAAAGACTGTTTAGTTGTGACAGGTCAATGTCGCCAGCAGCATACTCCCGGTCATCAACAGTAGACTACACAAAGGGTGTTCCAACGCCTCCCACAAAGAAAGCTTCAGCTTGTCGCGGTGTGTGTACTGCAGCAAAAACATCAGCCAGCCCACCCCTTGCACATAGCACAATGGTGTTGAAGCGTAGGCCTCCTGCCACCCCAGCCTCTGCAGCTACACCCCTTGTTCTGCCTGCTTGCCCCCCTGCAAAGGCCCATGCCTATGCTGATGCTGAACATGACACGCACATGGCAGAACAACCAAAGTCGCCAATGCCAACTGCGAAGGCAGTCCCGAAGCCAATTCCAACGGCCAAAGTTGCTGCATGCCAACCCGCAACCCAAGCACCTGAGCCAACACCAAGCCATGAATCCACAGAAACACCTCAGTCAACACCCCCACAGATGCACCCAGCCAAGGACTCCCATGGACCAGCCAAAGTTCAGCTTGACTCAGCAAGAGCTGGCATCTTGCGCCACAAGAAAGCACAGCCATCCGGCTTGTCTGTCAAGTGGGAACTTGATACCCCGGCCCCGCCTGTTCTGCCACCAGACCTGGAGACACCCAACAATGCACCCCAAGCAGAATCTCCAGCCTTGGCAAAAGCCAAAGCGCAACCTCCCCTGACCCGTGCGCAGCTTCCAGCACCCCCAGCACCCCCAGCACCCCCAGCAGCACACCCAGCACAGCCAGCACAGCAGCAGCAGCAGCAGCACAACCAGCACAGCCTGTACGACGACCTGCTGCTCAAATCACCGTTGCCACTGGGGAGGCCTGGGGACTTAGAACTGCTGTATTCAACCTTTGCGCGTAGTTAGATAACTAGATAGAGATGTGTGTATATACATGTATATATAAAAGCGATTGTTTTGCAGGATGGGGCACCACAGCCCATTGAACCCGCGACCTACAACGAACGGCAAGCTTTGCAGGGCGAGTTCAAAAGGCAGGTTTCTAATTATAGAATGCCTCAGTCACGCTATCATACTCACCCCAAACTATTATGCACCCTTTTGTGGGAGGCGTCTTCGCGACCCAGAAGCGCACGACATACCGGATGAAGTGGTGGAAGCATGGGAAGCTGCAGTGAAGACCAACACGAAGGTATTTTCACACATGCGAATGAAATCTAATGCTTGTTATAACGCACCCTCCATTATAAATCAAAACCATCTGTGTTTGATGTAGGCTGCAAAGACGGCCCTGTTCGAAAAATGGCTGAAAGCCGGAAAGAATTGGAGCCTGCTCCCAGGATGCGATTTTTTTGGGTTCGCAGTGGCTCCAAATGTTTTTTGGTCAATCTAAGCGTGGACTCGGGTTCAATAAATTCAAAAGTGAATATGTTTGAAAATTGGCTGGGGTTCAATCAAGCTGCATAAATATGTTCTTCCCTTTTTTATGGACTTTCAAATGGGGATAAGCTTTGCCAAGCCAGCCCCCTGCCCAGGTTGCACGTGGAAAATTCCAGGACCCACACCGATCGATCCACTTCCACGAGGAAAATGCGCCTCTCGGCTGGAATCCCGCTTGTTGCCATGGGAATGGAAATGGACTTTTTCCATCGACTTGGGGTTCAGATCCATGTATTATATTTCTATAATCTATATATATACATATATACAAAAAATTGCAAGAGTAATTACCCCAATTTGCGGAAGTTATATGCGAAGTATTAAAAAAAGGCAACTGCACGCTTAAGGCCCTAAATATGCATTCATGTTATAAATGAGGTTGGCGAACCAAAGCTCAGATCATTGCTGATCACGGTGGTGACACGGATGCTGCAGACAGCATCATTAAGAAGAAGATTGCGGCTGGTTTAGTGCAAGATCACCCAGACGATGATGATTTGAAGACTTACTATGTGCCTTTCCTGCATCATCAACACACTTTGTTTCCAATCCACTCCTGCCCTCAAGGTTAGGGGTTTTATTCGCCATGCTCTGCTCCGTAGGTGACTGTGGAGCTTGGAAAAAAGGATGAAGAGGAGACCGCCAACACGCTCAAGATAGCGGCTAAGGCAAAGATCAACTGTGGTGGTCAGGCGCCAACAGAAACAGTTGGGTTCCTGGATTGTTTTTTGTTCCTGCTTTCCGGGGCTTTGTTGTGCATCTGGGGCGTTGGTGTTCTCACCCATCTTCACCCACTCTGTGACCAAAACTACAGCTACAATGATTGTTGCATGACTCATCATTAAGCCCATGTGTGGCCAAAGCTGCAGCTTGTGGCATGGCTGATCTTGAGCCCACTCTGTGACCAAAACTACTGCTACAATGCCTGCTCCTTGAGCCATCTTGAGCCCATCTGTGGCCAAAGCTGCAGCTACAATGATTGTGGCATGGCTGATCTTGAGCCCACTCCGTGGCCAAAGCTACAGCTACAATGATTGCTTCCTCAGCCATCTTGAGCCCATTCTGTGGCCAAAGCCACAGCTCTCTCTCTCTCTGTCTCTCTTTTCTCTCTCTCTTTTTCTCTCCTCTGTCCCCCTTCTCCCACCTGAAAACTAGTTGGACTAATATGATATGATATAATAAAATGATATGATGTGATTGGTATTTTATGATTTTTGATTACATATAATGTGGAATCATGTAAGTGTGTGTGTATATATATATATATGTGCGTGAGGTATTTGGCACATATAACTGCAAGTGGCTAAACAGTTTGCGCTTCATTTCCATGTGTAGAGGCTTCCCTGAAGTTGACGAAGGGTTGCAAGCCCGAAGAGTGCCTGAACCTGCGTACCAACCAAAAGGAAGCTCCCGCGCCCGCGACGGTTTTGGGAGTTCCAAAGGCCAAAGCGAAGTCCAAACCCAAGCAAGCAAAGACGAGTCTTGTCACCTATAATTTTCCAAAGTTTGCCAGCCCCTTTAAAGAATATGATGAACTGTGTCCGTCTCTAAAATGATCTGGCATTTAGACTTCCATGTGATCTTCTCTTCATATTCCACGCATGTCCGAGCATGGCGAAGCGGTGAGTTTCAAAACTCTAAGGAAGGAGATGCCGGATGAGGTCGTACCAGGTCTTCAATGGATGGTTCCCCAGATTCTCAAGGATTTGAGCCAGGCAAAGATGTGGCCCGTGAAATTGGCCCATCTTAAGCACCAAGACAAACTTCGCCCCTAGACACAATCAGTTTCTGCATGTATGTTGCCTCCCCTTTTTGGACTAGCTTTGCCAGAAATTTATTCCTTTCTTGCCCACTTAGGTGACAACCTAGTGGCAGCGGCGAAGGAGTTGGAAGATTACTATTACACTCTGAAATCCATTTTGGACCAGTTCGAGAAGGAGAAATCACAGCATTGGGGGGATCCGGTTTAACCATGAGTCTTCAGGATGTCAATAGCTTTGCATGGGTAAATTTTCCCTATAGTTCCAAGAATTATGGGGATTCCAAACCCTTTTCGATACCACCCGCCATTTAAAAAAAAAGGTGGTCACGAACCATCTAGTTTGGATTCTTTTTTTTCTGGAACCTCAATTTATTCTGGAACCCACATTGACATATCCTCACCAAAGCCTTGTACCGTTCTATCCCGCCAGAATCCCGAAAGCCTCGACGAAGACCGTGCCGCAGAGATCCTTATTGATGCCAATGCCGGAAGGGATTCGTACCTCGAAAATGCAGCGATGGCAACGCAGCTGTGCAAGCCAAAGGGAGGGAAACGGAAGGTGAGGTTGGGTTGGGGGTTGCCACACCATAACGTCCAATGTCTGGGTTCAAAATTATGCACCTTGAAGGGATGGCTCATGAATGTCTAAAAATGGGGATGACCAACAAAGAATGGATTAAAATTACATCAAATCACATTTCATTTTACAGGGGGGTTCGTGAATCTATTTAAAAAAACAATGGGGATTACCAACACAGAATGGGGTAACATGGATAGATATACATGTCACTATACATTGGGACTGGATCATATAGTTGCAAATACTGGCATACAGTACATGTTTTCTGTGGAATAAACCCAGTAATAGACCATCACATCAACCAACCGTCTGGGGATCATTTTGCACCTTCCCAAAAGGTGCATGCCAAATAATGTACTTCTATTGGGGGTTGTTTTTTGTTGCATGTGGGTAGACCATTCTTGCTAGATACCCCTGTATCCAAGCTTTACCATATTTTGTCAAAAATTTGCAGAATTCAAAAAATGGGGGACAAACAGCAATAGCCATCATGTAAAGATGGACACGGAGGTTAGCTATCATATCCAATAGGAGGGCCCCCTTAGCGACTATAAGTAACATATCCCCAGTTGAGCTCCTCCCTCTGCAATCCCTAAATTGGATCAATTCGAACATTGACATCATTGATATATCCTCACAATGTGGGTCCCCCTAGCTATAAGTTGGTTTATAAACCCATCTAAGCACAGTTAAAGCTACCATAAACCCTATTTATGGCATAAAACAACTCACCTATATCTTGGGGGCCCCACATTGCAACATTGCGGTTTTTGCAAGTGCGATTGAATGACCCAAGTTTTGGACACACCCAACCAGCGATCCAGGCCAGTGAAGGAACTGAAAACCCTGAGACCTAAAGCTGTGCGACATGGTGCGAGTGTTCCCACACAGGGTTTTTTTTGAGATCTAGGGGCTCAGTAGATCTACAGGAGTCAACCCGACTTCTTTGAAATCCATGGACAATTTGGCATGGCCATAGCATGACCCTAGAGAAAAAACTTATAATTACATTAAAACTTTGCCATAGCTGCAGGCATTAAAGGTTCCTGTTTTTGACGCAGGGTTGTGAGGTCAGCCATGAGTGAACTACCGCGTGAATACACGCGTTTGAAGCTTAGATCCCGCACGCCAAAAATTGGTGCCTTCCGTGGGTGGTATTTGTAGGGTTTGACAAACTATTACAATGACCCCGTACCTATGTGCAAACTCATGGGGTGATTAGAAGTCCCGCTATGCCACTTTGTCAAACCAATTTTATGATTTCCTCTCTCTCTGTGCAGGACTCCTACGTGATGAGTCAAAACGCAAAGCAGAGGCCAGGAATGATAGAAATCATCCAAACATTTCAGAAAACATGTATGTGGACCTCGAGTTTAAGAAAATCACTGAATTTATACATACCCGCGGGTGTGACTGGGTTGTTCGCCCAATTTTGGAGGTATACAAGACTGCCGGCCACATGTTTGGATTGCCCCCCTGAGGCTCTGGCTGGCCAAAGCAGCAATGTGGAGCGGCCATGCAAGATGCCTCGGCCGGTGCTTCGGCCTCTCTCTGCCCCTGAAGTTGTGGCTGCGCGAGCATCATGCAAGCCGAAGACCCCTGCACCCGAATTTGGGGAGCTTCTAACTGACTCGTTTGCTAGTGGTTCCAGTTCTGCGGCCCAGGTGTTCTCAGTTATGCTTAAACGGTATGTTTTCTTGTGTTTCCCCCCTGCAGCGTCACTCTTTAACATTGACATTACCACTGACTCACTTCTTCATTGCTGCAACTTAGGTTCAACGAACTGCTGCTTCGGCTATGCAATGGCTGGATTCGCATGGTGGTCGTGTCAAAGATTCTGGCGATACTGTTGCTCGGCTTTCAAAGCTTGGCTGCAGTGGCAAGTGGTCTGCTAATGCTGAGCGCGACTGCCATAGATTAATGCGGAAAATGGACAACTGGTTGGGCGCTAAAATCTCCTACAGAGATGTTCGGATGGTGAACCCGTCGACTCTTGAAATTTCTATGCAAAAGCTGCCTATGATCTTGCCACATGATATGTTACTAGCCTTGTGGGCCAAAGGGAGGAAGGTGTTCGACAAGTGCCTCTTCGGGGCGTTGACACCACCTGAAGTTAAAGAGTATTGGGATCACCTTGAAACACATACCAATTGGTTTAGCAATCACCCTGCAAGTGCTTGGCACGACCGATCTCGACTGGCTGGTGTTGCGACTTACGGGGATGAAGTGCAAGCCTACCGCAACTCCGAGTGTGGTGCTGTAGCTGTGTGCGCTTTTACTCCCGACCTTGCATACAAGAACGATCCGTGCAACCGGTACTACCCCATTTGTTTGTGGAGCGAGCATCATGAATGCGAGCACACCTACAATGACGCCATGAAGTACGTGGTGCGCAGTTTCAGGCGCTTAATGGATCCCACTGCTACCTGGCCTTGGACAGCTGAAGGGTATCATGTGACCTTCACTTCTGCTCAAGGTGATCTCAAATGGTTGAATGAAAAGATGGGGCTACACAACTTTCGCTCGAATAACTTTTGTTCGCGCTGCACGTGCAAAAAGACGGCAGAGAATGTGTATGACTCCCTTACAAATTTCAGCTCTGACCCCACAGCCTTTCCAGAGCAGGATTACACAGAAGTGGATATGGTGCAAGAATTTTCTGTCCTTTTTTCCCTGCCACTTACTCTGGACCGTGTCTTGCATGACACCTGCCATTCGCAACTGCTTGGCACGGGCAAAACAACAAACGGTTCCCCGGACAACTTTTAAGTGCATTTGATTTTTTGTTCGGCATGAAGATTTAGACAACCATGGGAAAAGACAAGTTTGCCTTTCACACGGGTTACCCAATCGCAACATCAGGTGCCACTCTGATTCACTTATGTGAAGCGGGGATGTTCGGGTCCATGCAGGGCGCGGGGGTGTACAAGGACAAGTTGGCCAAAGTACTGAAACGTGCTCATCGGGATTTTTTGCTGTTCAAGAAGCTGCGTGGCATGCAGTGTAGCCAGCCTCGATTTACACCAGCAAGGCTCAGCAGGCATGTCCAAACCAGCTCCTAGATTTGTTCATCCATCGCTAGTTCCTATGTTTTCCTTGTTTTTGCATGATCTTCAGTGCTTTTGATGATGAGCGCATATGACCGGTATCAGGTTTTCCATCTTTGCAGAGCAAAGCAGCACCTGGCAAGATTTTGACTCACTGGTTGGCATGTCGCGCACAGCAGTGGGCAGAAAGGGTCGATGCTACTGAGTCCGACAAAGTAGTTGCGAGCTGCATTTTTGCCTATGATATGATGCTTCGAACCATGGATGAGGGACGGCATATCTTTACAGAAGAACAGGCTAATCGCTTTGGCTACTTCACGTTGCGACACCTACGCTGTTACGCATGGCTGCATGATTTCGGTATGAAAGCTCAGCTCCATGTGCCAGGGCGCAGGTCATGGCTACTACTTCCCAAATTGCATCACTTGTGGCACTTGTGCCATGACACTGTCAGATCCAGGATCAATCCCAAATTTGTCACCCTACTCACTGCAGAAAGCTTTATAGGAATCATTGGCCGCATTGCTAGATCCTGCCATCGCTCCAGTGTCTCTACAAGGACGTTGGAGCGCTACCAGGTTTTGATGATCCACAAGCTGCCAAAGTGAGCTGAGGTGCCAGCGAAAAAAAAAGGGCACATCTAGGCTCTGGGGAGTGGATTTGAGCAAACAACTGGGAGGCTCAGCAATTACCTGAATGTCCCCATTTCGAACCTGAACATGAAGTGTTGCTTCTGTTGGGGCACATGAAATCATCATTAAATCTTCATTATCTCCCTTCTGGGGGGCCTACAGGGGCCTCATGGGACCTCATGGTCCTTCAACATTGTCATGATGCCATGGTACCTCTCTGTGACGTACCCAATCCTTTTTGGATTCTTTGGGTAGTAGAGAATCATGATTTTTCACTGCAACCCGTTTGCGAAACCATTTTGTAGTGACCCACACTGGCTTTTGATCCACCATCAAACACCCCAAAAACATTTTGTAGCAGGGGGGGTTGGTTCAGATTCAAGCAGCATTTTGTTGTATAAGGCTGTGTTTGTAAACGGTTGAGTAGACACAACTACCCTGCAGAATGCACACAGGGATCTAGTTTCTGGATGACTTTTGTCACGCGCTGCATTTTGTAGTGACACACGCGTGCACAACCTTTTGTAGAACCTGCTGCGTCTCCCTCCAGATAAGCCCCAAAAAGTTCGAAAAACATGCTTTTTATGTAGAGACCTTAAGAAGGAAAAATGGGACAGATTTGGTTTAAAACCGATCAATTGAATTTGAAGTTGTGCGCTTAGATCGTTTTTGTTGCCCCATAGCTTTGAGCATCGTAGCAGAAAACCTCTTGAAAGGTCAATTCTTGGAATCCGATGGAAATCCCAGGGTTGTATTTACTTGTGCTCGGCAAATACTATGACCTGGGCCCGGAAAGTGAACCAAAGATTTAGAGTGAAGTTTCCAGAAACCATTTAGTAGCGAATCATGATTTTTCATTGCAACCCGTTTTCACTACAAAATGGTTACGTAAAGTCATTTTGTAGTGACCGACATTGGCTTTTGATCCATCATAAACAACCCGAAGCCATTTTGTAGCAAGGGGGGTTGGTTCAGATTCAAGCATCATTTTGTAGTATAAGGCTGTGTTTGTAAACGGTTTAGTGGGCACAACTTCTCTGCAGAATGCACACAGGGATCCAAAACGCAGGTGGTCCAGTTCGACCCATGCGTCCAGTGTCCAGATCATTGCGGGCCGATCCATGCGGTTATAGCCCTTAAGAGTTATAAATGGAATATAATGGAATTATATGGAAGGACCGGGCACTATAAAATCGGAACCCACGACGTCAGAAAATCATTGTTTTTAAGCGTATATAAACACTATAAAATTGGAACCGATGACGTGAAGAAAACCCTAGATTTGTTAAGGAAATCCAGACATTTGGGGTGGTCATAGGCCCCAATTCTATAGTGAGTTTCGGGTAAGTTTAGGAAAATAAAAATAGGCTCGACGGACAGTCAGAGTGCCCAATTTTTATAGTGTTTGAAGGGTTTTGGGGTTAAACGAGGGTTAAGTGATGGCCTCTACAAACTTGATACTTGTATTTTTCATTTTATAGAGGTAAAACCTCCCCAGGAGGGTCTGAGTCATGGGTTCCGATTTTATAGAGGACCCTGTTGGGGGGGGTTACCCCGGCGTTTTATTTCTATAAAATTGGGACCCATCACGTTCCGACTTAATTCACAGGGGGTTATTTTTCCCCACATCTTTGTGTGGGGTTCTTGCTTTTGATTCTGTATCCCGCTCCCGCCTCCCGGCCCCGCCGCCTCCGCCGACTTTGTCATCACTTTCTTTCACACACAACTTTGTCACACACCATCTTTTACACACAACTTGGTCAGACCACACTTTGTCACCCATAACTTTGTCACCCACACATACACCTTCACTTTGCGTGGCAGGCGTGGCAGGCGCGGCACTTGGTGGCGCGCTTGGGGCCCACTGGTCGCGCGGTGACGCCGCGGCACTTTGCGTAGCAGGCGTGGCACTTGGCGACATCTACCGTCGTTTTGCGTGGCGGACGTGGCACTTGTGGCACTGGGCTGGCTCTGGTGGCGCGCTTGGGGCCCCTTGGTAGGCGTGGCACTTGGTGACATCCACGCTGCAAATGAGCCCATCTCTCTCAAATACGACTTTGTCACACACAACTTTGTCACGCACAATCTTTCACATCTCTCTCTCTCTCTCTCTCTCTAATGCACTTTATCGCACACAACTTTGTGAAACACAACTCTTTCGCACACAACTCTGTCACACACACACACACGCAACTTTGTCACCCACAACTTTGTCACACACAACTTTGTCACACACAGTCCTTGTCATACACAACTCTTTCGCACACAACTTTTTCACACACATCTCTCTCACACAACTTTGTCACCCACAACTTTGTCACACACAATCTTTCACACACATCTCTCTCACATGAAACTTCTCTCTCACACAACTTTGTCACACAATCTTTTACGCACAGCTTTGTCACAAACAACTTTGTCATACACAACTCTTTCACACACAACTTTGTCACAGACAATCTTTCACACACAGCTCTTTCGCTCACAATATCTCACAATCTTTCACCCACAACTCTTTCACTCACAACCTTTCACACACACCACTCTTTCACACACAACTTTCTCACACACAACTCTTCACATACAACTTTTAAAATGATTGACCCTCCATCATCTCCTTTGGCCTTTCTTCTTTCTCCGCGCCGCTTCAACCACTTGTTCTGATTATATATTGGAAGAAGTTGGCTTGTGGGGTTATCCGGTCCTTTAATTATTATATGTTTGCATATTTTAGTGTGATGTGCTGCCACAAAAGAGGACATTTGATTTATGTGCGACGGGTAGGAACAATCAGGAACATGCTTAGGAGGCTTGCTGGAAGTACTTTGTCGCAAGATATCTCACGTACTTGGTATCTCAAACGAGCCTTTTGAGTGTTTATGAGACGGAGTGAAAGTGCCAAGTGAACACGCTGAGAGGAGCGCTCCCGAAGTGGATTCAGCTCCGACGAGGCGGCGTTCGTTAGAATGCGTCAGTGCAGACCATTGATTCACTGCTTTACACACGGATTTTTGATGATTTTTGCAGATAATGCTATGACGATTATAATTTACATATGTATAATTACTGCATAATATTGTATAATTATATATAGTATACTATATATAATTATAATATAGTCTTATATGAGAAAGCGGCAAAATTAGCGGAAGACCAAAGTAGTGGGGAGTGGACATGGGATGTCAAATTGGTACGACAACATTCACAACCGATAGAGGACCACCACTTACCGATACCCTATTTTTGCACACAGCATGGAAGTACAAACCTTCACAACCGATAATCCGACAGGGGACCACCCACTTTGGCCATGTCCATTGCAGGTAGTAAGTAATTTTGTCCGCCACTCATATGAATAACCGACAAAATTATTGTAATACTAATTTAGTCTTGCTTCGCCTTGGCCTTTCCGAGGTTGCACAAAACCGTCATAACCGATAGGGACGACCGTATACCGATACCCCATTTGTGATATCTCCGGGACTGCTGAAATCCTCACAACCGATAGGGGACGACCCTAATTTGTGCATGGCATATCATGGCATTAATTTTACCATATCATTTTGTCCGCTACTCTCTCTCTTTATATATAGAAATATATATAGATATATACCTGGATCCTCCTGTTCGTGGAAGTTTTCACACCAAAGCCAAAATCGATCAAGTGTGCCAAATTCAAGAGAAAAAGAACTCCTGAACGGTTATTTCCACTCCAGACCGGGGTTTTAAACTCCAGAACGGTTCTGAACGCTTTTTGAACGCTTTTTCCCACTCCAGAACGTCCGGAATGTCCCGAACGGCAAAAACCAGTCCGGTGTTATTTTCCACACCAACCCCAAAATCGATCTTTTTTGGGTTTGGGATTAGAAAATCTAATTGTGGGAAGCTCCAGATACCTATTAAATATTATTAGAAATTAAAACTGTGCCTAGCGATACCTAGCGCATCAAGAACCCACACATTTGCAGGTCAGGTCTTTTTCCAAAAACCAAGTTTTTCCTTCAGTTATGGAAAAACATGTTTTTTCCTCAGAAAATATGGCTTTTCCTCTTCCTGGAGATTCCATTGTACTGTAGCACTTTTTTCTGGCAAACCCCTGGTTGGATACATTTTCTGCTGTCCCTGAGGGTTTTTTGAGGGTCTGCGCATTTTTTTGTGGTTTCAATGGATATGAGCACTTTTTGGTGTTCAAACCCATTTTACACCTTTGGATCGAGAAATCATGAGAAATCCACGAAGTTAGCCCACACTCAAGCTGGTGGTCAATCTTGGAAGCGAGTTTTACATCTAAATTAGCATCTATCTCCACTTTTATGCTTCCTGGGGAGGTTGCACATTGGGCCAAGCGCAAAAGAATTGATTTTATTTTGCACATCTTGTCTGTGTTTCGACATTTTTTGACGTTTTGGACAACTTGGTACCCCGCAATCGGGGCTCAATTTTACACAATCAGGGCGCAATTTCGCGCAATCGGGGCGCAATTCAAAAAGTGTACGGGCACTATTGGCATTTGCCTCCCAAATGTGGGTATTCAATAGCTTAAGTGTTTATAGTTCGGCCCATCCAAGTGAATTTGATGACTTAATTGCAGCGGCGGCGAATGATGTTGGTCGTGGAGAGCCGAAGTAGCGTGATCCCAAGCATAGCGTGATTGTGTCAGTGTATGTTGCAAGAATCCTTGGAGATCAGGCTGTTTGAACATGTGGGGGTGCCCAACAAAATGAAACAACCAAATGAGCATTTTTTAGTGTATCGAAGAAAGGTTCAGGTTTATATACTAGGGAAAAACATACTTTTTCTCGCACTTGGTGTCATGACATCTCATGATTCGTTCCCTCAAACCCCTTTATTGATATTAGCCTTGGATCTATCCTTCTCAGTACCCTTCATGTTGATTATACTTCCACCCCGCTGGCTTTGGCTGGCAGTTCTCACAAGAAAGGGCCCGATGCTCTTGGAACATGTCGGACAACATT